AGCACGTATGCTGGGTTGTTGGTTAAGTGCGGACGAGTCAGAAACTAGAAGGTAACCAATGCTTGATTAACTAGATTGATTGCGAAGAACTAAACTAGGTGCATGAATGAGTGTCCTTATATATCCTGCCCAGTATACTCCCCCATCTACCCCTTAGGGAGTATATCCTGAGTCGATCCAATCAAGTTATGCCTGGGTGTATACTCCTTCGGCTACTCCTTCTGGGGTATATCAGGAGTAGGTGATCACGTGACATGCCTGTTGGTTATCAACTTGATCCCTGCCTTTCCTGCGCTTTGCCTTTTGCTGCCATCCAATGATTCTGCCTTGACTCCCCGCATAGTCACGTGAGGCTGATGTGGCTGTCGGAAATGTGGCTTAGTCAGGGTTGAAAGTACGTATCAAGCGTATATGGTTGAGGTCTCTAATTCTTGCAAAAGTGTGCTAGCTAGGATCCTATATACGACCGTAAATACCTTATAGAGTATACTAAGCGATTGTGCGGTTTCAAAAGCAGTAATAGAAGAGTAAATACGCTGCTTTGCGCCATATGATATCAGCAAGGCATCAATCAGGCATCAGTTGGTATTGTTCGGTAAGGAACCTCTATATTCCGACAGTGGCTAGGTCTGTAACAACTGGTACATGGGAATTCGGACAGATGCTTGTCTTTGGAATCTACATATTAATGGTACTCTCATACCCAAACACGAAGTCGATTCAAGTGTGCTTACCGCCTGTTGTAGGCAAATGGTTCCGCTATTGCCACTCTCAAGCACGTACCAGCTCTCCAGGGGAGGAAGTTACATTCCAGAAAATGAAACAGCTTCAAGAGGGAAAGAACAAATCTGGCGATTGGGAAGAGGTCTCTTTTCCGACCCCACCTCATTCCGACTTGGATTATGTCTACACAGTCGATCTGGATACCGCATTCATAACGGTCTCTACATGGACAAAAACCGATGGGATCATACCATCAATTTTCCGGGCCAAACTCGCGGACGTTCACGAAGCGTCGGATCTATCACTTGACTCTCTATTGCAGAAAGCAAGTAGGCCTCTAGAGGGATATCTGAATCTGACATTTGAAAAGCATACCGAGTCTATCGTTTCTGAGATCTAAAAATTGACATCGGTACACCAACGCCGCTGAACGAGCCCCAATTTCGGCTTTTTACGGACTTTATTTTTCAATGGAGGTTCTATATTAATGACCACACATTATGGCAGTATACTTCAACACTGCTCAATACATTTGTTATTGCCATTCTACGTCTCGCTGCATGGGATCTTGGAATAACGCACGAGGGCTTCGATAGTCGGATTGAGCTACCAATCAATTTTAGATCGGTTCCAGGCTGGAAGAGACCAGAAACAGATATATTTTGGCTTCATGGCTTCCTTGTCGTATGTGATACACTGAACGCTCACTCATCAGTGACTGCGACAATCCTGCGGGCTAAGGCCTTCCTCAACGATTACGGCATAATGCGGAAAAAATTTCGATTAATTCTTATTTCATTGCGTCATGTCGAATTGTTGAACTTTCACCAAAATTCGTGATGAGATCTGAGGTGCTCCCATTGGTTATCAATAATTCAGCAGAGCAATGTTCACCTGGTTTCCGTGCACTTACACATGTTTTGTCTTCCTCCTGTTGGAAGGGGCCACTTGCTCACAGGGAAAGGTGGGGCGTGAATATTATTCCGGAAATATTTGATATGATGCTCAAGGTACTGAGGCCTCGAGATATCTTGTCCTTTTGCCAATCTTCTCTGGCGGTTGAACGGTGGTATTACTCTTCAGTAACTCAATTTGGTGATTACAGAGTGCAGCATTTCGACTCGTCTGTTCCATATTGCGGTTACTTGGATAGAATGGAATCTGCTGTTTGTTGTTCTCATGTTATGCCTGGAAACATGTAAAATGCGTTGGTTTGGTTTGCACCCCACCTGGTCGTCGGTACATATGTCGCGATTGCCATGAGAACAAGGATTGTCCAAGTCTTGTCCCTGATGATTAAATGAAACTAGTCGACGGAAAAGAAGAGGCCCAGGGTGCCGTATCAGAGTTGCAGGCCATCCCAAAATCCTTGGATTGCGTCTTTCTTTGCCTACACATCTCCGACTAGAACGCCAGTTTCTAGAAATCTTGATCTCACACCACCGTTATTAATTAACTATGTATAGCAACATCTGTAAAACTTGGTGGAATTGTTAATATCAAGAGAATTCAGACGAAACAACTGCAAAAACAATAGAACAGATGTTGCTCCCAGTAATTTCAACAGGTGCAATCGTGCCTGTGAGGCAGTGCGAGCCAGTAACGAGGAGTAATTGCAGAAGGAGCATAATATATATTAGCCCATAGCCAAAACAACCCATCAGCAAACCTCCGGCATCGGCATAATTAGAGACACATGGATAGGCAAGCTTCACCTGGCCAATGACATAACTGGTGTATATGGCAATAAGGCCCACGCCGACAGTGCAAGTAATTCCAGCTATCATTCCGAGTGTGGCAAAGGCCGAAGGAATTGAAGGCTGCCTAGTGCAACCGCCTCGACGATAAGCACTATGGTGAGTCGTTTCCAGCCAAGGCGGTTGAACCTTTCCAATACCATGTCCATATATTTGGCGATCCTCTGCAGCCATATCATCGACAATGACCAGGTCACAATGCTGTGCCTCGGCCGCATTTTCATCGTCTATCTTTTTCAGGCCATTGATATTGGGTTGTTCTGATTTCATGGATTGGTCGGTATGGATGTCTCTCCGGAAAATTTTCGAGTGATGCATATTAAATTATTTGTGTTGGGCGTCGGTGGTTGTGGTTTTATCGTCTTGCGAGTGTTCGTGGTTATGGATGATGGTCTTTGTCGTGAACTTGCGGGGCTAGCTGGCGGTTTATATTAGATGGAGGAGAGGGGGTCAAACATATCAAAACAGTAGCCCGTTAACTGGCCTGTGCTACTAGAGGAGAATTCATAGTTTTCGGAAACGGGTATTGATTCATAGTCCCTCTTTCCTCGTATACCTATAGGGCTACTGGGAATGGCCGGATATTGCCGAAAACTCACCACTGGCACTTGCTAATAGGAGAGTTTTTGCTAGTGTATGTATACTTCAGACGTTACATTCATAAGTTGAATTATCTATTCCCCCTCATTGCATTTACGTATTCCGTGGCGAATTAATTTGGCACAGATGGGCTATGTGAATGTCATCCTGCAGCTACCCAAAGCTCGGTCTAACGGAGTCTCAACAACTTCAGTCATGAAAAAGAGTTATAACGGGGTATTTTTTGAAAACACCCAATCACTGGATTGGGATGCGTATGTCATTCAGCGGGGCTTCTAAAAAAGCCTCAGTGGAGTTACCTATGTCGAGAGAAGCCTTAATCCTTTATGCTTTTTCCAGTTGTTTCTCGCAGCTCAGCTGCCGGTGGCTGCGAGTCTGGCTTTTGTTCGTCCTATGGTCATGAATATCCACATGTGTGGAACAAGTATTCTATGATATGTTTGCATTCTTTTTTAATTGAACGTGTAGAACTATAGCAACTTATACCAATACTAGGCTAGGCCCATAACCGGCTTTGAAGTAATAGCCATGGAAATGGACATTCTTAGATCTCCGGGTTGAAATCTTCGGCATTTCAATTAGGTATACCAGAACAGCGATTAATATTCCCAGGTAAAATGGCTAAGTTATCGCATATGCACGGAATATTATTTTATATTTAGATGCATACAATATTTGGTACAATCAGACAGATTCTGCCATATAGAGTATCACATGTAGAACAGCAAATCGTTTACTGTTAGTATGTCCTGATAAGGAAGCAGTGATCGAAACAACCGTAACAACAAAAAACAAGGGGAAAGAAGCAACTAATTCAGGCGTGCTTAGTGAGAGATGCCAATAGCCTGACATTTTAGAGTTTTGGGCTAGGTTCAACAGTCAAAGTGCCGGTTTTGGCAACTATATACTCTTCGATAGCAACATCTTTTCCTGCTTCCTTTCCATATCCAGAAGCCTTGATACCGCCAAAGGGCGACTCTGCAGCAGACGAGTTTCCTACGCGCTGGATCAACAAGTGTACGTTTTATGGGATAGAAGGGGCTTGTAGGTTCTTACCAGTGTTCATTCCAATCATGCCAGCCTCAAGACTCTCAAGCAACCGCCAGGTGCGGCTGGCGTCCTTTGTGAAAAAATAAGATGCCAGGCCCATGTTCGTATTGTTTGCCATCTCAACTGCTTGATTTTCAGAGTCAAACCTGTACACGCCCAGAAGAGGACCGAATATCTCCTCTCGAGTGGTTAACATTGAGGAGGTCATCCCGGAGATAACAGTTGGCTGGAAGAAATTCCCATTAAGAGGCTCAACTCGTCCACCACCGTAGACAACCTTTCCACCTTTCGAAACAGCATCGGCTATGTGTTTCTCCATCTTCTCGATGCCACGGACCGTTGTCAACGCCCCCATGGTAGTTTCTGGGCTAGAACCGTGTCCCACTCGAATTTGCTTGGTTGCTTCCACAATCATTAACAGGAACTTTTCATACACGCTACTCTGTACGTATGCACGGTTCGCATGGGTGCAGGCCTGACCTGCGGTGCGCCATTTTAGGACCATTAAGGCAGCCAGAGCTTGGTCGAGATCAGCATCGTCGAAAACCAAGAATGGACAGTTCCCTCCCAGCTCGAGAGTGACCTTCTTTAAACCAACACTGCAGTGCCTCGCAATGAGCTCACCAACTGCAGTGCTGCCGGTGAAGGTTACCTTGCGAACAAGGGGATGCTTGCACAGGGCCTCGCTAACGGTGGGCGTGTTCGCGTTATCTGTTGTCAAAATATTCAAAACACCTGGCGCAAAGCCTGCACGGAGAGCCAGATCCGCGAGCGCCAAGATACTCAAAGGTGTCTCCGGTGACGGCTTAATGATAATGGTGCAGCCAGCAGCCAGTGCTGCTGCAGCCTTCCGGATCGTCATGGCGATGGGGAAATTCCAGGGCACAAGAGCAACACTGACGCCGATGGGCTGTTTAATGACAAAGGTCCGACGGCTGGAAATGGAAGGTTGAGCAATGGAGCCACGTACACGTTCGGCTTCACCGGCAAACCACCAGGCAAAGCCCAACGCGTAATCAACCTCGCCCAACGCTTCAGCCATTGGCTTGCCAGTTTCATAGACAACAAGCATAGCAATGTCTTTTTTGGCATTCGAAACCAGACGGTGCCATTCGAGGAGCATCTTGGAACGCTCTCGGGGGTTCGTCTTGCGGTATTCAAGGAAGGCATTCTGCGAAGACGTGACAAACTCGTCGACATCTGCGACCGCATTTGTAGGGCAAAAGGCAAACGTTTGGCCTGATCCAGGATCTAGGGTGACAAGTCAGGGAGCAATTCTTCAATTAAAAAATGCAAATAGGGAACGCGACCTTCGATGCCGAACCGACGGCCTCCTCGCGCTTGGACGTATTGGCCATTCAGTAGTGAGGCTTCATGGAAGAGGGTGTTGTCTTCCAGCTGAGATGCATATCAATTAGGCCACGAAACTAGACAATAGAAAGAGACCGTAGGGGAAAACAAACCATGAAAAGAGTAGTCGCAGACATAGTTTCGGTAGAATATAGTGTCTTTTCCTGTTCGGCAAATGTTGAGCCAGCAGGTTTAGGAAATGAAGGCACCTCGTCCGTTCAAGAGTCTCTTTATGTGACGACTGCCATAGCCTGGTCCCTATGATACGGTATCAAGCCATGACGCATCCTTCCCATATTTACCGCCAACAATACCGGACTATAACGGCGCTAGTTTACAACAGGAATGCATCCAAGACCTTGCCCTTGGTGGTGAAGATCACCGTCTGGCAAGCTAAATTTTCAGCTAATTATGAAATCTGTAGCCGGATGAATGGAAGTCTACCATTTACGCACAGCTTCCAAGAAATTCAAGATGGTCACGCCTCCTGTAGCCATAGGGCATACCAATCTGGAAGAGACTGCGTTGCAGATGGAATGGACCGGCATATATGGACCCCGTCTATTCTTATACCTTAGCGAATATGGCGCATTCGGCAAGTGGACCCTACCGGCTATTCTTATATCTTAGCGGATATCGCGCATCCACCGCGGAACCCTTGCGGAGTGGCTCGCGGTGCACAGATGACAAACTCTCCACCAAGATCCTCGGATCATTGCAAGTGCTTAAGCGGTTGATCACACAGGCGGCCCCGAACAGAGAAGTTGGGGTGAAGTACAGTGGTCCACTCGGTACTTCCTACCCTTCAGGTCAAACTCAATGGGTTAGTTATGTTCTCGTCTAAAATTCCAGCTCAGTGCTTGAATGCCGGCGTTGTCGCTGCATCCGCCCCGCGTAATCTTTACCTTTGCGGTTGTGGATAGATTATGCTGCCACTATCTTGCCATCGTCTGCTTGAGTATATAAGGGTCTATTTCTCGGTCTACTTAAGTATTTTGTTTGCTCTTCTTTTACTGACTCGTTGTTCTATTCAAAGCAGAATTCGCATATCAACCCTACCATGTCATCCTTTACCCATCCTTTCAACCCGCTCACACCGAGTGAGATCTCCAAGGTACGCCCTCCCAGGCCGCCATCGTATCTCTCAAGCTTACCGGATTTCAGGCCGCAGCTTTGGTTTGCCCACTATTCGCCGGTCAAAGCCCCAGCTTTCGGGTCATCACCCTGAGAGAACCACCGAAACATGAAATGATTCCATTCCTCGCGAGCGAGCATCGCGGAGAACCCGCGGCGGCTCGCCCTGCTCGTGTCGCTCGGGTGCAGGTCACAGTTCCCGGTGATTCTGGACCGGGAAAATTCTTTGAATTATTAGTTGATCTGGATCAGAGGGCTGTTGTCAGGAGAGAGCACCTTGCGGGCAAACACCCGTATATTGACTCCTCTTACATGAAGGCCGTCGAGAAAGCTTGTCTCGGCGACCAGCGTATCCAGGCTGAGATCAACAAGCTTGAATTGCCACCCAGTGCTTCCGTCATCGTTGAGCCGTGGGCATATGCCACGGATGGTTTGAATGATATGTCGCAGCGAACGACTATGGTAAGGATCTGTTTTTGTTTCAAGCGCTTCAACACATTTTGCTAATTGAGCTATGCAGTGTTGGTTTTACATGCGACTGGTGAGCAATGAGGACGCCAACTATTATGCCTATCCGCTAGACCTGTGCGCCGAGGTGTCGGAGCAGCTTCAAGTCACCAAAATCTATCATTTGCCGTCTACAAAGGATGAGCGCATTCACGAAGATGCAAAGCCGTTTGATCGCCGTAAAATCCAGTCCATGGATGCTAGCGAGTATCACCCCAATTTGCGGCCCCCTCGGCGAACGACAGTCAAGCCATATCAGGTTGTGCAGCCCGAGGGACCGTCATTTAAAACACGGGGCAACTTCTTGCAATGGGAAAAGTGGAGCATGCATATTGGTTTCAATTACAGAGAGGGTTTGACGCTCCATGATGTATGCTATGATGGCCGCAGTCTTTTCTACCGCCTGTCCCTGGCCGAGATGTTTGTTCCCTATGGTGATCCCCGTGCGCCTTTTCCCCGTAAGGCGGCGTTTGATCTGGGCAATGACGGCGCCGGTATTAATGCGAACAACTTGCGTCTTGGTTGCGACTGCCTGGGCCTGATCAGATATTTTGATGGATGGCACACCACTTCGTCTGGAGAGCCATTGAAGATGCCGAATGTTGTTTGCTGCCACGAACAAGATGATGGGATTTTATGGAAGCACACTAACTTCCGTACGAATAATGCTGTCGTCACTCGGTCCCGCATTTTGGTCCTACAGACCATTATCACTGTAAGTAACTACGAGTACATCTTCAATTTCCAATTCGGACAAGATGCCTCGATTCATTATGAGGTTCGCGCCACGGGTATCCTATCCACGGCTCTAATCAATATCGGCGACCGCGTGCCATGGGGTACTGTTGTCGCCCCCGGCGTTGTTGCACCTTACCATCAGCACTTATTTAATCTCCGTATTGATCCTGCTGTTGATGGCCACTCCAACTCTCTCCAAGTAGAGGAATCGAACCCGATGCCGGTAAATGATCCCATGGTCCACAATCCCTTCGGAGTTGGATACACTACCAGCTCCCAGATCATCGGTAAAGAGGGCGGCCTGGATCTCGACTTTACCAAGAACCGCAGTTTCAAGATCATCAACGAGAATGTGATTAACCCAATTACCGGTACCCCGGTGGGCTTCAAACTATTACCGTCCTACAGCCAGATGCTTCTCTCGCATCCGCAATCCTACCATGCACGAAGATCTGAGTTTGGCGAGCATGCTGTATGGATCACTCGTTATCAGGATGATGAGCTCTTTCCTGCTGGCAGGCACACCATGCAGTCAACTGGTGGCGACGGCATTGCCTCGGCCATCAAGGCGCGCCAACACGATGCTAGCAAAGCATCAGTTCGCAACGAAGATATTGTAATCTGGCACACTTTCGGCTCCACACACAATCCTCGGATTGAAGATTGGCCTGTGATGCCGTCAGAGAAAATGACAGTTGGGCTAAAGCCTGCCAACTTCTTCACTGGGAATCCTGGTCTCGACGTTCCCGTATCCACTCAAGAGAAAAATAAGAGTGTTCTGGTTGAGAATGATGCCCAGTCCGGCTCTGTATGCTGCAGGCTGTAACTCTTCATTTATTATCATTATTTGTCGTGTTTTGAGCGTCTTACGATTGATTGTCATTCCGTGAAACTACTTTTGTAGTCCAATATCCATCATATAAATATGATAAATCATGCCTTATTACAAACCTTCTGCACCAAATTTTATTATGTCAATCCCTACCCTATAAGTCTCATAATCAAACAGTGTGAAGCTTCACTGAACTTGCGTAGAAGAGCAAAGGCTGATACCCAAGGCATTGCATGCAGTATCCTTTGTCATAACCACGTCTCACCAATACAAATGGGATCCTATTGGCATTGACGAACCAAGTTTCAGCCATCTGTCCGACACGCTTTCAGGATAGAGTAGTTGATAACAGGTGGCTATTCGAGCAGGTAACGAATTCTCTCCACCCCAATTTAACCATTGAAACTACTTGTCGGACTTACTGTATCCCGGTATTATTTGTGAAGTCTGCATTTAACAATCTCGTCTGGACACAGTGACCCACTCCCCATCGTTTAATCTTAACCTTTGAGGATGAGTGTCTGTGAAGGTGGGTCTCAAACTAAATTTCGTTGAGACGCGGGCTTACTATGGTCTGCAACAATTTCCTTTTGGACCTAGAACGAAAAGCCCACGCCCTGGCAAACATTGGCTGAAGTGGTTGCTTAGACTTGGCCATGTTTATGAGGGGCGCTGTATTCGTCCAAGTTGCGTTTCTAACAAGCGTTGGTCAGAATGTGTGAATATGTGGGGTTCACAATCCAATATTACCAATCTGTCAGAGAGCGTGTGCTGAGAATAGGAGAAAGAAATGGTCTTCCCTAATATTGCTCACCTACCCCTCCTTCCTCCGGAGCCACATTTGATAAACTTTTTGGCGTCGGCTTGTATATAAATTGCGAACTTTCCATAATTCGATTGCCATCCCAGTGGATTCCTGTGACTTTTTTCTTATTTTATCTGATTCCAGTTATCGAAGAGCAGAAAGGAACTCTTAATATCTTGAACATGACATGGAAGGAAGTTTCCAAGGCCGCTCAGGCTGAGCTGTTACAGTCCATTCCAGTGAAATGGCAGCTCGACGCTGACGCCTACAAAGACTTAACTGACGTTTCTCGTGTACCTCGTGAATGTGGCCTGTTGACTAAAAAGCAGCTGCAAATTACAGAGCTTAATGTCACTGAGCTGGCCGACGGAATCGCTTCCCGGAGACTGAAAGCTGTGGAAGTTGTCGAGGCCTTTGCTGGCCGCGCTGCCATTGCCCATCAACTAGTAAGCTTCATTGTTATCTCCCTGTAAATCATGTGTTAACTGACGTTTCAGGTCAACTGCCTGACTGAGTGGTTTTTGGAGGAGGCTCTGGGACAAGCCAAAGCCTTGGATGGCATTCTCGATGCGGGTGGTCAACCAGTCGGTACATTACATGGTATTCCTGTGGCTCTCAAGGTAGGAGCTACTCTAAATCCGTGCTAGTTCTTATCTCACTGCCCCTAGGACACCTACAGTTTGAAGAACCATCCGACAACATGGGGATGCACTATTAATAAGGGTAATGTGCAGGACGGCGACTCAGTTGTCGTGTCCGCGCTGCGTACTGCTGGTGCTGTGTTCTTCTGCAGAACAACCATGCCTCAGACTGGCATGGCATTGGAAACCGTCAGCAATCTTTGGGGTCGTACCATGAATCCGTTCAACCGATCGCTCGGCGCTGGCGGGAGCTCAGGGGGAGACGCTGCTCTAGTTGCCATGAAGGGTAGTCCCGTTGCACCATCTTCCGACATTGGCGGCTCCATTCGCGCACCGGCAGCTTTCAACGGGCTCTACGGTATCCGCCCAACCGCGCAACGGATTCCAAAGGGTGGTTGGGAAAGCACCAAGTCGGGTCAGGTTTCTATTCGCGACTCGGCCGGCCCCGTATGTCATTCCATTGACGACATCCGGCTTTTTACCCAGGTCATCAATGCACACCCGAATTATAGATACGATGTCTCTGCCGTTCCTGTTCCATGGAGACAGGTTTCCTTGGCGGCGAGGTTAGCGGTAGGTATCATGAAATGGGACGGTGTGGTAATGCCTCACCCTCCTATCCTGAGGGCCCTCGAGCATACGAAACGGACTTTGGGCAGGGCTGGCATTGAAGGTGAACCCAACCGCCCCTTACCCTAATTGTGACAATATCTAACTATGTGCAGTGATCGAATTCAAGCCTCCTTTTGATTGCTGGGATGTCGCAAAAACTACGGTATGAAGTCCATTTGTCCTGGCTTCCAAAGTCGAAGTGGCTAAAAATATAATCAGTATGACATATACTTCCAGACAGCCGCACATGAGACTATAGAAAAAATCCAGGCTGCTGGGGAACCTCTGATTCCTGCATTTGCCAACTTACTCGAAGTTTACAATGCTAGACACCTTAGCGCTTCCGACGTGTGCCAGGTAAGCTGCCAAAAGAAAAAGTTTTCATGCTCAGAATTATTCACACCCTAAATTCCAGCTCAACTTAACAATGCGCGAGCGTAAAACTCAGTGGGCCGATTCCTGGGAACAGACCCGGCGGATAACTTCTACTGGTCGTCCCATGGATGCCCTAATTTGTCCTGTCGCACCTTCAGTCGGTATTCCGCACGATTATAACATTTACTGGGGCTACACGTCGCTTTTCAATTTTCTTGATTACCCATCTACTGTGACAGCCTGGTCACGTTGGCTGGTTATCACGTGAGATGCAGTTGTTTGCTTTGTTGATAAATACGGTGTCACCCCCTTTCTTCCTTCCTCATGTTGATTATTCTCGTCGATAGCTACCTAGGTAGAACCCATGAGTTGGATCTTCGATTATCCTAGTAGAGCGCCGTGACATCTACCGTCTTGCCTGTTGCTAACTTCAAGATTACCCCTTTGTCCGACCCTAAAGATACGACTTACCAAGCCATCCAGTCCAACCCCTACGACAAGGCCAACCACGAACTATGTAAGTTTTCAATTCGTCCTAATGATTGATCTAACATGTTTCTACACAGATGATCCACAGTTGTTTTCGAACCAGCCAACCTCCATTCAGATTGTTGGGCGACCTTTTGACGATGAAGAGCTGATTGAGATCTCATCGTTGGTTGACAAGGAACTCAAATTAGTCTCCGGTCAGAGACATTCTGGGGGGAATCTATGAATATATCACACATGGAACTCCTAGGAGAGCGCTACCAATATCCAATCACGTTTTGAATACATTATGATCTTGACTGGAACTAACTCAGGTGCTGTGACTGAACCGTAATCTGCTTCCTCGATTAAGACAAATCAAAAACACATTTATTGGTAATTAACTGAAGATTATTCAGTAATTTATGTCAATAGCGATATTCCGAAAGCAAGTTAAGATAGATAAAGAAATAACATGTATGTATGATAAGTGGGTGAGACATAAGTGAGACCAATGATGAGATCTGATAGGTCGGATTAAAGGGATAACGTTAGTCCGACTAGCGAACCTCCGATATATGGGCAGCGTTCGCCACATATAGATAGACAAGCACTCATCAAAGCACTCAAGCACCTGTGTACTCTAGGTTACATTAGATAGAGTATATCAATCGTTCGTTTTAATTGGGTCTTCTACATATAGGCCTCGTGCAGTCGGATGATCGACTCCTCCGGTTTCCCCTGAACCTCCGACGGAATCCATTTCAGCCCTCTTGTTCATCATCACTGATCGGCTCAACTTCATTGGGAGATGGCACAGGCTTCCATATCTGATCAAGCATAGCAACCTATTCAGTAGACAAATGCTCCTTGATCATCTCTAGCTCGCTTTGTTCAAGCTCAAACTTTGTTGAGAATAAATGGAGCATCAGACCTTTGATTGCACCTGGTTTTAGTTGCCTGACGATAGTGGCAGACATCACGAGCACAATTGAAGAGCCTTTCAACACCAGCACCACTGGCAGGTGTTGAGAGGATATCCTGTGCTTGCAAGGATAGCACAGGATACTCATGTTCATGCTCTTTCCAAAAGAGACGAGGGTGCCCCTTGGTAAGTCCTAAGGAATGGGTTAGTATTAGAATAACATAATGGATAGATGTGCTAACCTTTAGCAAGATATCATGTTATCTCATCCTCTGGTTGATCCACTTCAACTTGGAGAGAGGTCTGGGAATCCATCATAAGCTCAAGCTCATTTTCGATAGGATCTTGAGATGCCTGGATATTCACTGGTGCTGCTTGAGGCACTACTTGCTGTTGATATTGGTTAAACTCCTTCTGTAGCACATCCTGATGTCACGTGCTCGGAATAGTAGATAATAACGAACTGAATTCCTATCTAGACTATTGCAGCCATCGACGAGAATATCGAATCTGGAGAAGAAAAGAGAAGAGGAAAGCTATCTAGGTAATGAAGGGGTTTTATAGAGGTTGATGCCGACATGGCTGAGTAGCAGCATTTGCGATGTATCATTCATTGCTGCAGTGTTGAGCCGTCATATATGAGTCGTCATATATAAGTTGTCACAGCTCTATAGACTGCAGTGCCAAAGCTTCTTCCAGTTCAAAATGTTCACACATGCTAAAATTCTACTTTCTTGATGCTTGACCATGCTAGGAAGCTCCAATGGGTCTTTGACCAGTACTGCACAATACATCAATATGTTCAATTCAAGCTTGACCAAGAAGAATGGTGCCAAGTGAATTATTTGTTTTTAATCACAAAGCCTTTCTTTGATTTGACTAATGTCCTATCAAAGACTCAGGATGTTACAGTTCACCATGTTTTCAGCATTTACAACAAGCTCTTTAGCCACCTTGATGCTGCTGAGAAGAAACCGAAATGCAAAGCTGTTCCCTGGAAGAAGAGAATGCTTTGGGCACTTCAAGCTGCAAAGGAAAAACTCTCAAAGTATTACCATGCAACAGATAAGGAGTTATTGTGACGGCCTGGTCATGTTGTCTGGCTATCATGTGAGATGCAATTGTTTGCTTTGTTAATAAATACGGCGTCATCTCCTTTCTTCCTTCCTCATGTTGATTATTCTCGTCGATAGCTACCTAGGTTGAACCCATGAGTTGGATGTTCCATTATCCTAGTAGAGCGCCGTGACAGTTATATGGTATAGTATATGCAATTGCAAACAATTCTTTGTCCCTCAAAGAAGCTTCGCTACTTTGACAGCAAGGACTGGCGAGGAGAAAATGAGGATGGGAACTGTGTTGATTTTATGAAAACCTATCAGGTGTGACGACTCATATATGACGGCTCAACACTGCAGCAATGAATGATACATCGCAAATGCTGCTACTCAGCCATGTTGTTATGGGGTTCTCGTACGAACCCAAAGGATGGCAGTTTGGCTAAGACCAGCACAGAACGCAGCCAGCAAGGGGACCGAAACGACTATTGACGACCTTCGTACGATCCCCTTACATGAAGACTATCGGTGACCTTTTCGGTCAACTCCTGACCTCCGAGAACACTATTTGGAATCTCATTCCCGTACGACCATAAAAGACTGCTCCCACCTCTGCCCTATTTGTTTCTTCTTCAACGATTCCTTCTTGTATAAGTAAAGGGTAGCTTTAGGTTAAGACAACTTGAGTTAAACCCCTAACACATGTCGGCAACAACCTCTATAAAACCCCTTCATTACCTAGATAGACTTCCTCTTCTCTTTTCTTCTCCAGATTCGATATTCTCGTCGATGGCTACAATAGTCTAGATAGGAATTCAATTTGTTATTATCTACTATTCCGAGCCCGTGACAAGAGCCATAAAAGCTTCCCAGTGCTGTGGACTAGTATTGATGAACACAGCTAGCCCATGAATCTAGATATAGTAGTAGTTAGCACTATCAAGAAGTGTAAGATACTAAGCTAGACTTACCTTCTTTAAAGCAGCCATGATATTTTTTGAAGGCTGCCTTGAATTTGTTTGTAGTGACTCAGTGCATGCATCAGACCACTCAGACTCTGCCTAGTGTATTTACTCTGCTATTACTGCTTTTGAAACCGCACAATCGCTTAGTATACTCTATAAGGTAGTTAGCGGTCTTATATAGGATCCTAGATAGCTCCCTTTTGCAAGAATCAGAGACCTCAACCATACACGCCCTATACGTACTTTCGACCCTGACTAAGCTGTGATTCCGACAGAAAGTTGGTGATCACGTGGCAGCGTTTTGGTTGAAATGTGAAATGGGGATCGGGGGCCGGAGGTCCGGAGGAGTCGATTATCCACGACTAACGAGGTCGTATACAGAGAGGTCCAATTTTAACGAGAGAAGTGTATTGCCTATTAACGCGTATACCCACACATAGCTGGTTGAGTGCTTGTCTATCTAAAATGTGCGTACACGTTGGCCTATATACTCGGGCCGGTGGAACTTGCCTAATCGATCCAACGTTATTCCTTATCAAAATGGGTTCCGTCGGAGGTTCAGAAGAAACCGGAGGAGTCGATCATCCGACTGCACGAGGCCTATATGTAGAAGACCCAATTAAAACGAACGATTGATATACTCTATCTAATGTAGCCTAGAGTACACAGGTGCTTGAGTGCTTTGATGAGTGCTTGTCTATCTATATGTGGCGAACGCTGCCCATATATCGGAGGTTCGCTAGTCGGACTAACGTTATCCCTTTGATCCGACCTATCAGATCTCATCAAGGGCCATATCAGCCACGTGATTTCCCAAAATAGTAACCCGAGTCAGCCTTACTATCTGTATTCAGCCTCGTGAATTTTCAAGACATATTGGGTTTTGATATCAGATTATTTTAACAACTATTTATTTCTTGCTATAAGCTTTTTTATTTGGCAATTCTTTCTTCTCTCTTTTTGCCCCTAGTCACGGTAAACAGACATCATGCCGCATCCCCCGGAATACATCGAATTCCTCAAATCAATGGAAAACTCCAAACAATATCAAATCCTCAATAACCTCGTCAACAGCCCTGAAGCAAGCGTCGATAATGCACTGGACCAGATTACCCATCTAACATTATCAGCCCTCGCACCCTCTGACGATAAAAACTTTACACCTGAAAACATTGACTATATTCTCTCCTTCACCCTATTGATGCTTGTCCAGCGCCTAAAGCTAACTAAGCACAGCAAACTCGTTCAATTTCTCTATGGACTTCAAAAGCGCATAGTGACAGATCCAGCGACTGGTGATCCCCTTACAGTAGGGCCTACCAATAAAGTTCTCTGGACGGATCTGCCTTCATTTGGATACACTGAGTTGGAAACCTGGGACGAGTGTGGGGGTGAATATAAAGGCAATTCACTCCATCCTTCTGTTTTTGATATGTTTGCTAACCAATGCACGTAGACCCCAAAACCCCCAACCTAAAAGGTGAACAAAGACAGCGTTGGATCAACGAAAACGCCTTCATCGCCCAAATCACCCAAGCCGCCGATGTCAGCTACGAACCCCCTTTAGACCAGAACGATAGCATCCATCCCATCGATAGATCCCACCGGGCACTCCGAGTACTCAAGCTTGCCCTTGAAAATGACGATATCCCCATGCCAACACTCGCCAAGACAGCTGCCATGGAGGCTGCGTGTATCTGGTTCATCTACGCCGCGGCCCGGGTGTGGGATAATGTCCGATACGGTCGTACTTATAATCCTGAAGACTTTGGGACTGGGCCCGGTTGTAAGACGTTCGCGGCTCGGGGGTGGAAAGGGTATGAGCAGGATCGATGGGAGGTTTGGGGGGAGAGGTTGCGTGAGGCGAGAGGGGTTTGTGGGGATGAGAGAATGGGAGGATTGATTGATGAGGCTTTGGGGTGTATGAGCCGGGTAATGGGTAAATAGATGACTTTATGAGATATTGTTTACGTTCAAATCAAGACTATAGAATGAGTGCTTGACTAGCTATATGTGCGAATGTCACGGGCTCGGAATAGTAGACGATAACGAACTGAACTCCTATCTAAACCATTGTAGCCATCGACGGAAATATCGAATCTGGAGGGAGAAAAAGAAGAAGAAATCTATCTAGGTGACAGGCAGTCTTTATAGACTTTTGCTCGTCGCATTCACTGATATCGTGCTGAGGCATTCAGGTGTTAACTAAATCAGTGTTGAATCCAGGCATCAAATCCATCAAGCCGTCAAGTCTGTCAGATGGAAGACCACCCTGACGGCAATCTGCCTGCATGAGACTGAGAACAGACTCCACCTAAGAAGGGGGTTTATGTGACAGCTCAGTGCAACACTTTGATAAACAACATCAACATGGCAAACAATACCATACAAGCAAAAAGAACAAGCAGCTGCTTAGCAATGCCACACAGCCCCTATAATTTTCTTTTTGTAAATAGCGTGTTCTTCTTCTTCGCTTTCCTTCTTCAGATTCGATATTCTCGTCCATGGCTACACTAGCATAGATAGGAAATCGATTGTCACGGGCACGGGAGCTAGTAGATAAAACGAATGATATTCATACCTAGACTAGGTAGCCTAATGACGAGAATATCGAATCTGGGCAGAAGAGAAGAAGAAAAATCTATCTACAGGAGAAAAGGGGTTTTATCCATGGGATGCGTGGCCACCCTAGTGCTTTCGCTTTTTGCTTGCTCGGATGGCGGCGTTTGTTATCATTATTTAATCAAGTTTATTGTCCATACCGAGCCCTAGAGCTATGATAGATCCTTATTCGTGGACTTGAGGCTAGTAGCTATTCTACAGTCTTTTATCCCCATAAGCTCCTGAGGCACTAGCCTCCTTCTATAATCTTTCTGATCCTTTTCCTCGCCCCAAACCACCTGTATGCGCAGGGCTTTCGAGCAGAGTGCTCTCCTTGTACTTCAGAGCAGAGTGTGTGTGGCCTGAGCTGGGGATTCAGCTTAGGCTACCCTCCCTGCTATCCTTCTCCTGTTCTAATCGTCTCTTCCAGTGCTTCCAGTCCCCATTCATTGTCTCTTTGGACCCTTTCCGCCGTTTGATGAGAATGTGCTCGGG